AGTGAAAGAAATGAAACTGTCTGAATCCATGAGGTAAACAGCTCAGACTTTGGGAAATTTACAGCATAGTAATTAGATGTCTCAGTAAACAAAAAACAGAATGAGGGACATAGGCAGTGACCTGTTTTAAACATTTTACATATTACAGGTGAAAAACAAATTATACCCGAGCAACCTGTTATAAATTTACAGTGTGGGCAAACAAGGTATTCTTTTACTGGCAGCCTGCATTTTGTGGTTACAAAGAAAAGACCAATCACTTTATTACTTATCTAGAAAGGTAATCTTTAAAGAATAACAAAACTAAACTTTTATAAATGGAAAACAATTGTTTGGCTCTGCTTTAAATCTTTAGGGTGCATATCCACTCATCCTTAGTTTTTTTTATACCAGGAAATTGAGTACAAAAATGGGTACAAGGAATTAATCATCATCTTTGGTCATCAACCAATCCTAGCAAGGAAAGCATGTCAGCTCGTAATAGTTGTGCTGACTGTATTTGTTACTTGACCTTACCAAGTTCCTCATTCAGCTATATGCCTTTCTAAAATTTTAGATTGCCTTCTTTGGGTTTTTCATCTCAAAGCTATTTGATGAAAATAACTTAGTCTAATTTTGTTATTTTCAGAGCTTTGTTTCAACTGTGATATACTCTGAAACCTGAGGACACATCTCCCACCATTAAGGTTAAAAGAATTTAAACTAGGTATGCTATTGGGACTCAATTATTTTTCTTAATCTTTAGCCTAAGTCAGTCTATACAGCTCCTCAATAGAAACTCATTTATGTGTTCTAGCTGTGTGACACTTCATTGTTTTATTTATTATCATTATTATTATTATTATTATTTGGTTTTTCGAGACAGGGTTTCTCTGTGTAGTTTTGTAGACCAGGCTGGCCTCAAACTCACAGAGATGTGCCTGCCTCTGCCTCTGGAGTGCTTGGATTAAAGGTGTGCACCACTACCGCCTGGCTCTCTTGTTTTATTTTTTAATCATTTGTACACTCTGCTTTATCAAAGGCAGGAGCAACATTTTATCTTACCTTTACCTATATTAATTTTTCCACTATACTAATCTCTATCATAATTCTTTACTATATTTATTAAAAACCTTCAGTCATCAAAATCCTACTTAAACTAACACTATTATTGTATTAAATCGTTGCTTCAGTTAAACAGTACAGCTTAGGAGGAAATCATCTTCATAATAACCCACAGGTAATAATGCTGAGTAAAACAGGATGTTTCTATGAGATAAACACACGACATAATAGGCAGTGGGGAATCTCCCCCACCCATTCACAGCATTCCAGATACCTGAGAAAGATGGCAGAAGCAAACATGGAAAGGCACAACAGAAGCAAAAGACATTTTGGAGTCTGTGGTCTCTGGGCATTGTCAGTCAGAGATTCACTCATCAAGGCATTCTTCTCCTGATGGGCCGACACCTCAAACTTCTATTGCCATCTGCTGCTCCTCTGACATAGTCAGTAGCAAATGATTTAACTTACTTAATGACTATTTGTCAGCTTCCTAAAACTGCTGTACAGTCCTAAGACCACTAGTGTTTGTCCGCAATTTCAATCATACAATTCAGCCACCAAAGATAATGAAAAGAAAGAAAGAAAAGAAAAAAGAAGTAGATATGGATATATGAGCAATTCCTGACCACTCAATGAGAATAAGGAACATTTTAGAACATCTGGTTTCAAATTTTAACATGTAACTCAAAGCATGCCAGGAATTATAGAAACAAAACAAAAACAGCTATAGCTGTAGAAATTAGGAATCCCTAGTCATGCATGGTATGATACAGCTGTAATTCCAGTACTGGAGAAGTGGAGACAGGAGCATCAGGAGTTCAAGGTCATCTTTTACCACAGAGGAAGTCTGGGAGTAGTCTAAGCTACAGGAAATCCAATCTGAGAAACAGAACCTGGCAAAACCAAAAGCGATGGGAAAGTTTGTTCAGAATGGTACAGTATTTTGTTCTAATACTTAAATCTAGAAGGTCACTCATAAGATGGTACTGCATAGAGTGTTAGAAACTAAATGAGAACAAAGGGAGACTGTGATTAAATTAGAGATGTAAGAGACAACCAATATTTCTGGTTATTAGCTTTATAAACAAAATTCATGAGTGAGTACATACTGTGTTTGTCTTTCTGTGTTGGGTTACTTCACTCAGGATGGTTTCTTCTAGTTCCATCCATTTGTTTGTGAATTTCAAGATGTCATTGTTTTTTTACCTGAGTAGTACTCCACTGTGTAAATGTACCACATTTTCTTTATCCATTCTTCTCTTGAGGGGCATCTAGGTTGCTTCCAGGTTATGGCTATTGCAAATGATGCTTCTACAAATGTAATTGAACAGGTATTTTTAGACATAGAGCAAAGGATAACCAGCTTATAATCTATAACCCAAGAGAAGCTAGGAAACAAGGAGGATCCTAAGAGAGACGTACATGAACCCCCGAGAAGGGGAGAGGGACAAGATCTCCTGAGTAAATCGGGAGCATGGGGGGAGGCAGAAGGAGGTAGGAGAGAGAGGAGAGAAGGGGAAGGGAGAGGAGAACATGAGTAAGGTTGTTATGTCATGTCCTATGACTTTTCCTGTGGCTGTTACTGAAAAAAAAAACAGCAGCAGCAGCAACAACAACAACACACCCAAAAGGTTTTGTTAATGTCAGTGGGAACCAATATATATGAAAGATTTAAAAGGCTTACAGAAAAAAACTTGTTCCATGTCTGATGATTCGGCAAATAAAATACAAAGATTGGAACATAAGATTGAAATACTAACAGAAAGAATTTGTTCCATGCCTGCGACTAATGACAAGCTAGCAGATAAAACATTGTTTCTGGAAGGCAATTTACATGCCATTCAGATAATATCTAAGGATGAGAATATTAAATGTTTAGAATCATATATAAATAAAAGGAACAAGAAACTGACTGATTCAATGAAATCTTTAGGAACTTATATGGTCCAGGAAGTTCAAACACTGAGAGAAACAATGATAAATAGACTACAGGCCTTACAAGACCTTCAATCTGATACACCAGAAGCAGAGATACAAACAATAGGGCATGAAAAAGATTTAATATTACCTGCACCTTTTGGTAGTTGCTTGCTTGCACTTCCTGCCTACTCTAGTATTGTTATCCTCCTTCTCAGGTCTTTGATGGGGTTGAAGATTAGACTGTCATGGTTATTGTTCTTTCTTCCTAGATAGAAATATTAGGTTAAAGACTTAAACTTTCCAGCTTAGGACAACTCTATAGTAATCTCTGTTATGCCTTTACCCTAGGACTGGATATGTAGTTCTTGTCATTTGCTCTTGTTGCTTCACTGGCCAAACGTAGTTACTACACATGAAGAATCAGGAAGGTTGAATTGGGGGAAGAACAGAGTAAAAGAGAGCAAGGAAAGAGATACCTTGATAGAGGGAAACTTTATGGGCTTCACAAGGAACCTGGCCCTAGGGAAATTCCTAGGAATCCACAAGGATGACCCCAACTAAACCTTAGCAATAGTGGAGTGAATACCTTAAATGTCCTTTTCCTGTAATGAGATTGATGACTATCTTAAATGCCATCATAGAGCCTTCATCCAGTAGCTGATGGAAGCAGAAGCAGACATCCACAGCTAAACCCTGAGCTGAACTGGAATCCAGTTGTAGAGAGGGAGGAGGCGTCACCCTCTCGGAGGAGTGGATAGGGGGTGGGATGGGGAGATAGTGGGAGGAGTAGGAGGATGAGAGGGAGAGGGAACTTGGATTGACATGTAAAATAAGCTTGTTTTAATTTAAATTAAAAATAATAAAAAACTCACATTGTTTTCCATATCTAACCCAATTTTTAAAAATGTCTAACATAAAGTTAAATTCACAAATTTGTGGGATATTATGACCACATTTCAAAAATTAATTAATTTCATAGTCTAATAGGTATAAGATATTCATTACCGATGGTTACCAAAGAAAGTAGAGATATCAAACATGGTGTCTAGGCAGTGCAATGTGGTAGATATAGTGTATGTTATGTTATAGCACAGAACCACTTATCTGCTATAGACATAGTTTGTATCATGTTATAGCACAGAACCCCTTATTAGCTATACATATAATTTGTCATGCTACAGCACAGAATCCCTTATCTACTGTAGACATACTTTATGTCATATCATAGCACAGAACCCCTTATCTGCTACTGACACTGTATATGCCATGTTATAGGACACTATCCCTTATATGCTATAGATATTGTGTATGTTATATAATTGCATAGTAACTCCTTATTTGCTATTTCAGTGTCTGTAGCTTCTGTTACTTGCATGTAACAGCAGTCTTAAACCATTAACTATAAAATTATAGGAGTAAGTAACTCAATGTTTTTATCTAGATACTGTCCTGAGCAGCAATGAGGAGATCTTGTACATTGAGGTTAGGAAGTGAATTGCTAGTCACCAGCACTTGTGTCCTAGTAACACTCACTCAGTCAGTGCTGACCCCAAATTGAAAAAGTAATGACGTCAACATCACAGTCATCCCAGCGAGCAGCCATAAAGCATTATTTTAAATAAAGCTGATAGTACAAAGTACTTCATAGCATTTTACTTAGTGGAAAAATTCATTTTTACTGACACACACCAAGTTGTGAAAACTGTAGCCACCATATGTAGTATGTGCTTAGTTAAGATGGAAAAATCAACTCTTCCCTACCCCCCCGTGTGTGTGTGTGTGTGTGTGTGTGTGTGTGTGTGTGTGTGTATAAAATAGTGCACACAGAATGTACCATTAAGTTTAGTTCAATCAGTGCACTAGGAGTTTTGGAAACACTCCTTGTAGTTAAGGGAGGGTTGTGAGCCTAGCCTTTAATGACTGAGCCATCTCCCCAACCCATTAAGGGAGGTCTTCTGTAGGTAGGAAACCACCTCTGATTTTTCTCTCAGATGTACCCAAGAGGATTTAACAAGTGTATTCTTTGTTCATCCTAGATGCCTGTCAGTGCCCACACTGGCGTCAGTTGGTCCTGGAACTCAGCTGTGCTTGGCTGATCCTTCTTGTCTTGAGCCTGACTGGACTCAGTGTCTCAGGTAAGTGAGGTAAGAGCTTTAGCTTCATAATTCCCCAAAAACATTAGTCCTTTTATAGCATTTGACCACCTTGAGCCTAGGGGAAGGTCAATGACATCTAATGTTACAGGACAATATCTTGTGCTCATTGTAGAAACTTCACATTATGTTGTATGAGGTTTGGCATATATCCATTTAGAGCTATAAAAAGTAATAGTCAAATTGTGACAAAAGATGGTAATAACAAAGAACACAAAAGACCCTCATATTTAGCTTACCCAGTCAACCTTTTCTCGGGGTTGGTGTGACTGCGAGCAATCTGAGAGTTTCAACAACACCCACAGATTGGCTTGTCAATCAGAAGATATGCAGCCTCAGAGTTGTGTGAATCCACATGTTCTGTGTGTTTCTTGTTCAGATATCCTGGTTCAAAACTTGTCCCTCAATCCTATTTGCTAATATTTCATCCTGAGTCCAGATGTTCAGATGAAATAACTTGATTTCCTGAAATAAGAAATAAAACAAGCTGGGTGTGGTAACACACACCTCTAATCCTAGCACTTGGGCAGGTGGGTCTCTATGAGTATGTGAGGCCAGTCTGATCTAAATAGGGGGTTCCAGGACAGTCCAACCTGTTACCCAGAGAAACCCTGTGCCAACCCCCACCTCTGAAAGAAAGAAATAGACCACCATTCATTCCAGCATTTAATCTTCTCTGTGTGATCTTATTTAATAGTGGGATTCTTAGCGCAAAAACCACCAACAGAAAAATGCAGTGTGGCTGCTCAAGAGAACAGGACTGAACCAAAAGGTAACTGTGCGGCTTAAATTTCCTAAGAAATTTTGCATACATGTTACCTCAGTTAAAGTCCATAAGAGCCCTCAATGAAGACACTATATCACCTTTTATGTCTTAGAAAACATCCAAAATAAACCATTAAGAAATCGCAGGGAGCCATGCACTCTGTAAATATTGTTGCTGGGAGTTGCACTGAATTGGGCGATCTTGACATTTATGTTTGTAGGCAACTGGCCATGCTGCCTCAGGCTGATGGTGCACATGATCACTAAAAGGCAGATAACAAGTGAAAAAGCAGAATATCTGATTATTTTAATCAATATGTTAAAGTTTATTTTTTGTGAAGCTAATAATAGAAACAAAAAAATGAATCCTTTGTCATTAATTTGGATTCCTTGACACATGACAGCATTAACCTTGTTCTGGCATGCTCTGATGAAGAAGCTACTGTGTGGAGTTGATTGTGGTGCAGCAGGAACAGGGCAGAAATAAACAAATATTTCTTATTCTAGGGGGATCAGCCATGCTAAAGTGCCCGAGAGACTGGCATTCATACCGAGAGAAATGCTTATTTATTTCTCAAACTTCAGGACCTTGGTCTGAAGGTCTAACTGATTGCTCTGTGAAAGAAGCCACTTTGTTGTTCATTGAAGATGAAGAAGAATTGGTAAACAGATAAATAAAATTGCCCAGTTAGAACATAATTCTTTCTTGAATCTGTGTTGACGTCTCTGGACTTAGCCAATTGTCTACGTTGAGGAAATGGAGATTTGGATTTTAAGCAGCTCATAATCTAAGAGACTAATTGGATTTATGAATTACTAACTGACAATAATGGGCCAAATCAATTAAAAGTAGAAATACATAGGGAACAATTTTACAAAGGAGACAGACTTATGATGGTGGGGAACTAGGAAGAGCTCAAATAGCAGACATAGTGTTTTAGAAGTTTGGTACAAGAAAGTCAGTCATGATAAACAGATTGATGATTACGTCTCCCACTATGTTTTGATTATAGAAATTCATCCGGGATTTCTTAAAGAGCAAAGAACATCAGTTTTTTATTGGACTGCATTATGTATCAGCAGAGAAGATGTGGAAGTGGATCAATGGCTCTACTTTAAACCCTGACCTGTGAGTATTAAATGAGCTCATCTGAATATCCAATTCACATCCATATTACTGAAAATTTACTTTTGTAGTTTTGATTTACTTTATAAATTCTTGAGTCTTGAAATAAGCTGAAAAGACAATTCTAAAATAAGTTGAAAAATTTCTTGTACAAATAGACATCAACCCTTTATGATAATGTATGTGTGTATATTTATTTACAAAGGAATTTTAAAAGACAGGGAACATGGGGAACATGTCTGCTTGGAAATCATAGAATTTCTTTTTTTTCATTCACACACTCAGCTAGAAATAAAAAAAATTGTTTTATTTTATGTATGTGTGCCTGAGTGTATGAGTGTGGCCAGAAAATTAATGTGGTCATTAATTTTCATGGAACTGGAGTTACAGATGGTTGTGAGCTACCCTGAGGTTGCTGGGCCTTGAACCTGGGTCCTCTGCAATGGCAGTAAGCACTCTTACCCTCTAAGCTAGTTCTCTAGCCTCTACACTGAAATTCTTAAGCAGTACTTTAAAATTGTGGAAAAATGTTGCCATACAATTTTGTGTGTCATTAAGTGAATTTCTTTAGGTAGAACCAAAGTAGACATTGCTGCTTAAAAATAATTTCACATATAGTAAGATTTGATTTTTCCTTTGTGTGTGTTGGTTCTCTCTCTCTCTCTCTCTCTCTCTCTCTCTCTCTCTCTCTGTGTGTGTGTGTGTGTGTATGTGCGTGTGTTTGTGTGTAATTGTACTATGATGTAAAATGTTTACATGATTTTAATTCATAGTAAAAATATGATGACACGTGAAGAAATCCAAGTAAGGCAGAGGATTTATCTCAGTGGCTGTGTGCTTCTGCTCTTTGGATAAAGAGATGCTGTCGTTAGACAGTAGTGAGCAGGTACATTTTGAGGCTTTCCTGTTACAATATAAAGAGAGTCAGTTAAATCTGTTTTTGTTTTAACTGGACTGAGGTAATGGCTTTGGGTAAAAGCTCTAACTGTATAAACATTACAGTGTGACATCCCACAGAACTCTTATATAAAAAGCCAGATTCAGAAGTCCACATTTGTATCACAACACTCCTGCACCAGAGGGGCAGGAGGGGACAGGAGAATCACCCAGAAGCACCTGGGCCAGAGAGTCTGGAATCCACAGCACAATGTCAGAAACAAGGTAGAAGGGAGGCTCCCCCCAAATTGTTCTCTGACTTCTACACATTCTCTGACCTTTCCTTTCTTACCCCATCTCTTCTCTAAATTAGCTCTATGATCCCTTGTTTTCAGACTAGGAAAACAAGGGGAAAGCAAAAATTTTGCAAGCAGGAATATTTTGAGAATTAAATGAGATAATGTTAAAGTCGTCACTGGAAGTCTTGCTGGGGAGGTCCTGGGAATCTGTCAAGGGCTTTTGGAAAAGAAGTCGTTGATTTAAGCAGTTTGGCTTGAAGATTGAAGAAAGAAGCTAAAGCATGAAGAAATGTAGGGACATTTACAGAAGTCCAGTTGAAGGGAGTTCATAGATGATTAGCATGCAGGGCACTGGGTGACATCAAATTTGCTGCTATGGCTCAAGGGCTCCATGCAGAAATAAACAAAGGAAAAGTGACAGCTGTGATGGAGCCCTGCCTACTGCCTGATGTGTGACATCTCTGCTAGACACAGGTTGGTCTTGAACTCACCCCTTCCTCATAATCACCCTATAAGATCCCTGTTATAGTGCTTTACATCTGGCCTCAACCCACATTCAGCAATCCACAGGAACCCTGTGTGTGGGAGTAGTGTCATGATAAAGCAAAGATCCACCATCTCTGGAATGAGACAGGAAGAAACCTGAGTTTCTTCCACATGAATTGAGGCTCTTTTTCTCTGTGCATCTAATTCTGTAGACCCACTGTGTTCATTCTGTATGTTGAATACATTTACTGAGCACCTACCATGTAACTTTTGTAGTACATTAATGTAAATATACCTCAATGCCTTCCCTAAGCAGTAGTTGGTTATAACTTGTGTTTAAGGAACTTGAAGCTCAACATAATGAAGATGTTTTCCACATGGTCACATGACATGTCAGTTGTACATCTAGGAGATTTCATGACAGATTCTCATACCTTCTCCTTTTCATACATCATGATAAATATGCTTGATGAACTAATTCTTCTCCAATGAGGGTGCAACTGAAAATTCTAGTGGTGTTGATTGGCAGTATCTTTAGTGTTTATAATGTTTATTATTGTGTTTACTATGCTTCAACACTGTGTAATCTGCAGTATCCTTACATATTCAAAAATGGCTGATATGATCACTTTTAGAAAATCCTAAAGACTAGGAGCATCTATTCTTTGCTCTTCAGATTACAGGTCACTGGAAAGGCCAAAGAAGACAGCTGTGCTGTTATCTCGAAGACAGAAGTGTTTTCTGACACCTGTTCTGCAGACAACCGCTGGATCTGCCAAAAGAAGCTGAAACATGTCTGAAACCCTGTGTCCTGACTCCTGACTGCAAAGCTCATCTCCATTGCTTTACCTTCCACCCCAGATCTATGCACTGAACTGTCAAGCCCTCCCAGCACAGTTAGTGGCACAAAGCATGGTTCATAAAACCTTGGTGACTCTTACTGATGCTCAGTTGCAATGTCTTTATTCTGTAAATGTAAATGTACACAGACACAGATGTGCCATCCTAAGAGAGGTGCTCTATAGGAGGAAGCCCAGGCCAGCAGGGGGCACTGGAGGCCTTGTGTGACCTTTGTTGATCTCTGTCCCTGAGGTCATCTGTAGACAGCTGTTTGCAAAGTTTTCATCTGTACCCTCCACTCCAAACTATTTCACATCTGGGCTCTAGAACCGTGATTAAAGTCTTTGCTGCTGACTCTGACACCAGAGGCCCAGAGTTGGCAGGGGAAGAGTTGCTTTTTATGGACACCTCCAACATTCACAATTGACTAATGCCGTGATAATGAGAGTGACTGCAGGTAAACAGCTCTGTCAGTGTGACACTTCCCACTCTGCTGTAATCCACAAACATGTCCTGGAGAGTTGGTGGCACCTTGGTTCTGGGCTTGTCAGTCTCCAGTCCTGTGAGACAGGAGGGTCTATTTTCTCCGGTTTTCTATTATAGCAACAAAAATGGACTAAGGCAAGGCCTTAACTCTTCCCTCTGTTCCACAGGCCTTCTCATTTTAATGTTTTCATCACATCTTTCTTCCACACTGTCTATAGTCTATGGCTCATGCACAAAATGTAGGAAGTCTGCAATTAAATATTTTGTTATTTTAGTAAAAATTAATTTTAATAACTTTTTAGTAAAAAATTAACAATATCTTTTTAATTCTTCAGTTGCAGAAATTAAAAATTAGTTTTTACTCTGATGAATCTCTTTTATATCAACTCTCACTGAAAAAACTTGACAAATTGTCAGTGGCAATCCAAAGAAGAATAAAATTGAATTTACTGTATAATGAGGCATACTAAAATTTCTATTAAAATAGGTATTTACATATTCTAGACACTCATAGTCCAATTCAATTACTTAAATTGAAGCATATGCTAAGGTCCGAGTAAAATAATTTTTAAATAAAATATTATTTTGTATGGATGAATGTTCGGCTTGTATATATGTCTGCGCACCATGCACATACAGTACACTTAGAAGCCTGAAGGGGGCATTGGATCCCCTGGGAATTGAGTTTTCTTTTTTTTTTTTATTCTTTTTTTATTTATTTATTTTTCAGTTTAAATTTAGATTAGAAACAAGGTTGCTTCACAAGTCAATTCCAGGTCCCTCTCCCTTTCCCTCCCTCCTCCCGTGCCCTCCCCCAACCCCCCCATTATCTCCTCATTTCCCCAGGGAGGGTGAGGCCCTCCATGGTGGTGTCCATAGTCTGTCATTTCATATAGGGCAGGGCCTAGACCCTCCCCCAAGAGTTCAGGGTGAGAGTGCACCTCACATTGTTCTATGGGAGTCCAAAGTCCATGTGTATACTTGGGATGGGTACTGATCTGCTGCCCAAGGCTCAATAGATTCCCTAGGCCTCCTCACTGACACCCACATTCAGGGGGTCTTGATCAGTCCCATGCTGGATTCCCAGGCTGATGCCTGGGATTCAAGAGTTAACCCTTGTCAGGTCAGCTGTTTCTGGGGGTTAAACCAGCCCAGTCTTAATCCCTTTGGTCATCAGTCCTCCCTCTCTGTTACTGGCTTTCTTAAGTTCAGCTCAGTACTTAACCGTGGGGAATTGAGTTTTCAGTGGCTGAAAGCTGCAATGTGGGTGCAGGGATCAAACCTGGATCATCTACAAGATCAGGCAATGCTCCTAACCACTGAGCCATTTCAAAGTGTCAATATTCTTACTTGTCAGAAGCAAGTACTTATATTATTGTTGATAGTAACTTTCTAGTATATTAAATATCAAAGAATAATTCGTTTGTTAAAATCCTTATGAAAAAAATTCTGCAGGAATTCCTTTCTGAGCAAAGCAGCACTATAAATCAATGGTTAACATCAGCAAAGTTTTGGAAAGGTCCTGTGGTTGTTAAGAGCATGTAGCTAAGCAGATATGAGCAGGAGGGTAGCAAGGTCATGCACACCCACCTTTTTCTAGTTGGGTACTTCCTGACCAGGGAGGGAGTCAAGAGGACCATGGCTGTGCATTGGTGGCTGTGTCTCTTGATGGTTGCAATGTTCCCTTGAAGCTACAGTTAGGCTCCTCCTGCCATGAAAGAAACTAAGGTACCAGGGGACTTTCCCAATGACCACACATGCCACCAATGAATAAGATGATAAGCAGGGAAGGAAGTAATGTAGGAACATCTTGGCTCTGGAACAATTTCCTTAACATAGGAGAAAGGAAATTCCCAAGAGAGTAATTGAAAATAAGATTGTAGAATTGGGACCATAAGAAATTTCTATACATTCCATTATTCAGAGTCCAAATGAGCTACCTCCCACCTTCAGATCAACCTGCTCCGATCTTGTTTTGGAGTGTACAATCCCTTTGAGTTACTTTGCTTTGCTAAATAAACTTTGCTCAAATTTTGTCTTGGTGAATTCTTTCTGTGAGAAGGCAAGAATAAAGGAGAAGCTGTCACTTGCTAACAATGACACCATCAGGACAGAAATCAGAGGGGACTATTACCATAATTGACAATGTGCACACAGACTCTTGGGATGGTGTTGGTACCTGTCTTCTGATGCTGCTCAGAAGGAGCTGAGTCCTTCTTGATGGTTCAGTTCATCATCTATGGGTGTTAGATCTGAAATCTAGTAACCCTAAAGGTTTATTGGTAGGAATATTTTCCCATGACACCCACCCCAAGAAAACAAAGTATCTGTGTCTGTCACTTTTGTTCTATCTCTAATTTACTATTGGATAGGATACTACTGAGATCTATTTAAGCTATGAAGGTGAAATTCCACTAGGAAGCCATGTCTCATTGTATCTCAACAGGCTAAAAATATGAAATCTAATTGTGATTACTACATGTGTGTATACTCACCTGCCAGATTTATTTTGAAGGGAGCAGGCAAAAGAACCTTGTCCTAAGCATTGCCATTGTGACTTTAGCCTCCATTTTACCTGTAGGGTGAAACATGGTTCTAGTTTCCAGGCCCTGGTGAAGCTTGGAACTGTGCCATGGCTGACCAACCTCCTCTTTAAATAAGAGAAATAGTCTGTTCTGCCCCTTAGTTCCCTAATACATTTTGGTTGTTACTAACAATAGAAGGAACTTATGTATCTCATTGTTTGCCATTCATTCTTTGCCACTTGATAATGATGGAACACTTAAGGAAATACTCTCATCCCTGATTGGTGAAAAAAGTAAATGTACCTTGGCATAGGTGTGTTTATGGTTTAGTACTTATAAACCCCACTTCTGCCCCTTCTTGCAGATGTCAGGAGAAACAAGCTTCCTGAGTCCTTATCCCACAGCTGTGATCAATCAGGACTCCACTTCTGTATTGATTTATTAACATCTTTGGATTCCATAAGTGTAGTCTCTCTTACCATGTGTTGCACGTTGGGCTGGGTATAAAAATTGATGTACTTTATATGACTGGAAGCCACAAAAAAAGTTGATGGTTAGTTTTGTATTCAAACCCGGCCCTCTGCTAATTACCAAACAAGGTAACATGGCTGTCATGCAAAACAGCATTGCGTTCCTCTTCTCAAAATTAAATGCATCCATTGTACCATCAAATAATCTCACTCTTTCCATATCCCTGATTAAAAAAAAACAAGATGTTTTAAAATTTAATTTTCAGCTGGGCGGTGGTGGCTCACGCCTTTAATCCCAGCACTCGGGAGGCAGAGGCACGAGGACCTCTGTGAGTTTGAGACCAGCCTGATCTACAAGAGCTAGTTCCAGGACAGCCTCCAAAGTCACAGAGAAACCCTATCTCGAAAAACAAAAAAAATTAATTTTCAATGTTTAGAATGGAGTAGGTTTACAATTTTTCATCTTTTAACCTTAAGGTGGTATCTATCTTTGATCTTTAGGTGTGTTTCTTGCAGCAAGAAATAGGTATGCACTTTCATTTAACCCAAATTTCCAGTCTGTTTGCTTTTATTGGGGAATGCAAAGCATTGACTTTCAAGTATTGACTTGAATATTAATTAAAAGTTGTGTATTAGTTCCTTTCATTTAATAATGTTGTTTTCACCCATTTCTTTCTTAACCATTTTCACACATGGTTTCACTCTTCCCAGTGGCCTCACAGGTATTTTTGTCTTCATCTTCAGACTGAAGGGTTCCTTTGTGTATCTTCTGGGGGAACTTTGTTGGTGGCGAAGAATTTCTTTATCTTGTTTTCATTCCATTTATATTAATTAGCAACAACTTCAGGATTAATGAATGCATTAATACCCAGGTATTTTAGAGTTAAGGGGATGTTTTAATAGCATCAATTAAATAGAATGCTTGGTTTTTTAAAATAACAGTCAAGAAGTATATTTCTAACTACAGTATAAACATTTCAGCAAGAGCTTTTTCTGCCTATTTTCCACCAATTTTCATAGCAGTGTGGAGGGAGGATTAGCATGTGATTCAGCAAATAAAAATAAATGAGTGTGTGAAGAACTTCATGACTCACATGGAGACATCATATAGGATCATGACTGTTCATGTTGGTTTTTCTACTGACATCCTTCTTTTCTCCTTCACCTAAAGGATATTTTAAAGAAATGTTGAGAAGTACTCTCTAGAGCATGGAGTGATTGTTCTGTGGCTAAGAACACTTGTCAATCTAGAGGAGAGTATGGCTTCTATATTAGAGTTCTCTAGAGTAGCAGGATTTAGAGAATGAATCTCTTTGTCTATGTTTACAGAAAGCAGATTTCTTAGAATGACTTGCAGGTTAGAGTTCAACTAATCCAACAATGGCTGGTTATGAATGAAAGTTCAAAAATCCAGAAGTTGCCAGTCCACAAGGTTGGATATTACATGATGGAATCCTGATGAAGTACACTCTAATGCAAGTGAATGAATGGACTTGTGGGTTGATACATTATGATCTAATAAAGCCATTGGGGGTCAAAATGCAATGATAGCCACAGTCATAGAGCCAGGCAATGGTGGTACACACCTTTAATCCCAAATCTCAGGAGACAGAAGCAGATGGA